ACGATTTTTTTGTCAGGGCTTACGGAAAATTCGCGCGCTGTTTGGCTCGGAAGGGGCATTTCGCACGTTTGCTAATTTCTGTTGCGATTTCCTGTTGAATAACACGTCACGCCTTGGTGAGACCTGTATACTTTTGTCAAGCGCGAACGGAGCTCCTGCTGTTGCATAGCTCTACAGGAATTTACAGATCATCACAGGTAATCCATGGAACCGGCAAAGTGCCCCCTCCAAGCGAAAACTGCGCCAAACGTTCTTTCTTGGCCACTAGCGATACACTGCTCGTCACTCAAAATTAATGCGAAGTGAGGCTGGAAGGTAGAAGTAAGTGACCGTTTCCGCTTCCACCCACAGGCAAGCACGCAGGCGCAGCTTGTCGCGCGACCAGCCACACACCTAACTATAGCCGAGCGCGCTAGTTGTGTGCGCAGAATGTTTGCTAGAAATATGTTTCCGTTAATTTGAGGTTGGAAAAAATCAGTGAAGTCATAGCAAAAATGGAGGATGACACCACCAGTAGTGCTCAGGAGACAGGTCAGTCACCTGGCCGTAAACTGTACGAAAGAATCGCGGCCCAGGAAAAAGTTTCCAGGTGAGCTAAGTATTTTCTGTTCGTTTTTCTATTTTCCTATCTTTAAGGATTTCTTTATAATTGTAAGTTCCGCAATTTTGAATCTGATGAACTCATTCCAGTTGGATGCTCTCGCCAACCTCGTCTCTCGCCCCGCCTCCACCAGATCCCGCTTCCAGCAAGCAGACGCAGTTGTTTGACGAATTACGGTCAAAAGTGAGCCTTGTGGACGAGTTCACTCCTCGTTCTACCTTCACGACATCTACAAAAGTCGAAGATGTTGCAGTAGCCTCCGAAGAGCGATATTCCATAGCCACCGAGAGCAGAGCCTATGGCTTACCACGAGTCAGAGCCCTATTGCTCCCGGACGGGAAGATCCTCCCTATAAAAAATACCTCCACTCCTACCGGGACTGAAAACTCGCATTCAAGTACGTCTTCTGAAGGTGTCAACCAAGAAGAACTCTCTTGCAAGTCCTGCGAGTTCCTTGCCGACTTTGGTTCCACCTCCAAAGGAGCATTCAGCTAAAGTCTGGGCGGCAAAGGAGTTGGGCACATCGACTCCTTCGAGCTCAAGGGTCCTAGATGTATCCTATGGCAATCTCACGGAGACCGCCCATTCACCTCGGCCTTCAGAAGAGCCTCCAAAGGACTGCCCGGAGCCAGAAAGCTCATCAACCACGCTACTAAAGACGAAATATCCTGCAGTTCAAGTCCCATTATATGGGAGGCGACCTCGAGCAATGCCCTCAGAGACTTCCCCTCAACGTCATTTCATAAAGATCCTGAAAATAACCGTTCGCTGAGATCAGTGCCTTATGCGGATCACCGAATGCCGTCTCCCGAACCGAATGACGTCTGGGGAGATGATGAAAATGAGGAGCCCCCGCTGGGGGTGCAAGATGGAAAGCCGATCTATTGAAGGACGTCCTCTCTTCGTATCGGTTCCATTCCGACGACGTCAATGAAGCAGCGGACCAGTCTACAGTATTACAATCAGCAACTCGGGATGCGTACACAATCGAAGTCCCTTTGCGTTCTTGATACTATTCCCACATTATCTAGCGTTCGGCCGTACGACGCATGCATAAGTTGCGCCTTTTCGCACGATTTCATAGCTCCGTCACGGACCACCACACCTTTCCTTGAGTACGCCAGTCCCTACAGGCGAAAGATGAGTGTAATTGACGAAAGCCCGGAGGCACTGCAGAGAAGTTCTAGCGAAGAACGACCACCATCGGCAGGACCGCCTCCCCTCCCAGGTACTGAAGCGGCCTCAGGAGGGCGTGCAGCGAATGACAATGCATCGAGGACAATATCAACGTCAAGTTCTGAGACCAGAAATGGAGGCGATCAATTCAACGGCAGATCCTGAAGATTACTAGGACTCCTACGTTGCTTGAACAACTGCATGCCTGAGGCAGTCAGAAGAAGAAACCGTTTTTTTCTGAGAGCCAAACCGGCGATTAATCACCGGGAACAGACGCGAGCGGTCGCGAGGCTTGCATATCCGACGGAATGGACACTGGAGCGTGGACACATCAGTCGATCGATATTCATCAACTCGCAGCAAAGCTGGTTGAGGGAATCACACAGTGGCGCGATTATGCCACGTCATATCTGCTTGTCTGCGTTCTCTCACCAAAGAGAAAAGTGGCGAATGCCCATTCTAGGCTCCAAAAAAGACGCAGACTGACTATGATACACAGTTATTATCACAGAATTTAATCGGGGCGTGCCAGGGGCGCAAGTCCCTTTCCGACCGCACATTGAACGCCCGAAGTCGCAACGATCGAGGAAAAAGCTGGTGCCGCGCCAAAACTTCCGCGCTGCTGATACGCCCCGACTGACCAACGCTAATGACTGTAGCATAGTAGCGCCGTCGTGTGTGTTCCTCCCCCTCCCCCCCCCTACTACCATGGCCCCAACTTCATCCTATTTTAGCCCAGTCTATCTAAATATTTGTGACTAGCCATAACATGACTTCATCACCAAATATGGCCACTGAGATTTGAATCAATTATTGATCGCTATGCCTTATTTGGTCCCAGTGCCGTTAATGCCCGCACATTATTGATCAGACTAATGAGCTTAACCGTACCTGTACGCTTTGTATATTTGTCTTATCAGACTCCTCTGCATCTATGACTCACGTTTCCCTCATTTTCTGGTACTTTTACAGTTATCGATCGAGTTCTCCGACCGTCTGAATCTCACTGTAATCTCCTTTTGTTTTCAATTTCGAGATAAATATTGATTAATCGATTCTAGGAATCGTTGAAGGGCTAAGTAAACCAAAGGAAAGTTACTGAGAAACGGATCTTTGAAAATTTTTATTTTAAAGATATATTACAGTAATTGAATAATGTAACAGCAAGTGAGAATGAAAGAAACGTGGTATGAAAGAAAGAAGACATTGAGGAAAAAACCCGACGGAATCAGCTGATAATGCACAACGACGGTAGAGAGGG